CCAGCTGTGAAGTGTTATCGAGAAGTTTATTGGCAGAACACTCGTCCTTAGCATGCCAGTCACAGCCGAGATGGAGCCAACCTGCTGCTAATGCATTATTTACTTCATCTTTATCTCCCTGAAACAGGAGCTCCTGTCTGGAGCGAGCCACATGCCCGCTAATCAGCAGAAATGTTCCTTCCAGCACAGTTGAACCAGCCCCTCCTGCACAAGGATCCTGTGTCTGCATACCCCAGAGCTCTTTACCCAAAACACTGTCAGAGCAACACGCAGGGAACGTTGACATTTGTGGAAAAGCAACAGCCTCAAGGATCTGTCAGAGTCCACCGAGAGCAAGTTTTAATCGCTTGTTCTCCCGTTACAGACTGCTCTGCTTTACAGAGAAATTAAACTAGGAAAAAAAACAACCCAACAAACCTCTGTGAATTAGAATCCAAAATAACTTCTGGAATGAAAGGTACTGATGGAAGCATGTGAGGAGAGATAAAGAGACAGCCTAGTCTGTGCCCAAGGGGTGAACTGCTCCCCATGGCAACGCAGAGTGTCACAGAGCTCTGAAGTAAGGCAGCAGCCCAGGGCACGCAGGAAACTTTCCATCTCTTCAGCCGTCACTGCTGGAGAACACAACGGTCCAACAGGAGACAGGGCCAATTAGGTGACCAGTTAATATTGGCTATGACAGCCTGACAGCCACCTTGGGAGGGGATAAACAATGCTGATGTATTTCCAGTTCTGTTTTATTAGTGCTGGTGCTGAATGAGTGTGGAAGTTTAATTAACTAACCTTCATCCAAGAGCCCTGATCTCCTCTGAAGGCTGCAAGCACAGGCAGCAAGGCTGTTTGTTCTACATTACACACAGCACATTTGGCCAGAATCTGACCTCAAAGTTCAGCCTAGGTGCTCCTGAGAGAAGACAGGCTACCAAGGACACGTTGCATAAAGGAAGAAGTTTCAGGTTTTAGCAGTTATAAGTATAGCCATAAAAATGTCTTTCTCCTGAAGAATCCATGGCCAAATTCACAAGCATTTTTGACAGGACTGCCTTTAGGTAGGTGAAGAAAACAGGAAATCCTTAGCCATCCACCCTCTGATGGCATCAGTAGTCACGCAGGGAGTAAATGTATAACATAAGCATAACATCTCTCTTATTTCTTTAAAAAATAAATAAATTGTGCAATGTTGAATTACAACCAAGTGACCACACTGAAGTTAAAAGGGAACCACATGGTTCTGTCAAAGAGGAAGTGAAGTCAAGTCCTAGTCCCAGCACTGCATGAAGCAGCGAGATGACAAGCATCTCGACACACTGTTTACTCATCTAACATGGACACACTTACTTTTTTCCTAGTATATGGACAGGAGCACTACTGCTGAGGAACCCCCTGTAGAAAACACAATAGAACCAGAACCTACTGGAGGCCTCTTACAACTAAGGGTAAGACAATGAACAGATGGACACAGGCAGATAATACTCCAGCAGCCTGACAACTCTCTCTCCACTGCAAGGGTTTACATAAAGCATTTCAAACAACTCCTGAAATTACAGAATTTATATTTTTATTACAGTAAATAACTTCCTAGCTGACTCCTCACCTGCATGTTCCAGTATGGCTAACAAGTGCTTCTTGGTGTGTTTATAAAAGAATGTCTAAATTAGCTGGCAAAGAGGAAAAAAGAAAAAAAATCACAACTAACTAGGTGCCAATGTCACAGCAATGAGATCTGATTAACAGAGACACAGAGTTTGGAAGTGGGGCTGCTGCTCATTCCAAGCAGATCACGTAGCCTGGCACAGGCTATGTGGGGAAGGAAGGAGTTTAAATTTGCCACTAGGAAACATGTTGGAAGCACTGAGAGAAAACAGAGAGACTCCCTGGCACACCTAGAACAGAGAGACCTACCAGAACAGAGGAGTCTCTCAGATGTTTGGAAGACCCAGACTAGAGATTTGGAAAGGCATTTGTCAAAGCTGGGAATGACAGAAGCTTAAAAACCACATGTACCACTGTCGTCCCACTGTCCCCTGGTTACAGCTGACAGGATACACAGCAATACAAAAGTCCCATGACAGCTAGTGATTTCCACACCAATTTGTGAATTCCTGCCCTGTCCTTTATAAGCCATGGTTAAGTCAAGTCCTCACAGAGTTGTATTTGAATGTCTCAGACTCTTAACAAGTTTTGCCTACCTAAAAAAGGAAATACTTTATCCACAGGGCATAAAGAAATGCAGCACTCGCTGCCATCACGGGTTACAGAGGCCAAAAGTCCAGCCAGGACTATTAAATGCAGAAACAGGGACTACCCTGCAGCTCAGGAGTCACGACGTCTCAGACTACCAGTCCTGTTCAAAGGAAGGATCTCTACTCTTTCATCCCTCTTCCCTTGGCAACTGCTACGGTTTCCATTAAAGATGGAAACAAACTAGACTGACTTCTCCTCTGATAAACAATGGCTGGTTTAACTTGATGCTTTCATGAGACAATTCTCTCCCATGGGCACTCCCTATACCATAGACAAATGGGAAACTGAAACATGAACTAGGCTGACTAGAAACTTGGGGCAGATCAAAGTGAACAACAATTCATTCCTGAGTTCAAGGCTGGTCTTTCAACTGTGACACTTTGAAACTGGACTCTAAATCTTATGACTGTGAAGAATGATTAAACAAGGATATTTTAAACACTTTCTAGGCAAAGAAATGCCTAATTTGCATCATATCTGAACAGCCTCCTGCCCTTCCCCCTCGAAACACAAAGCACTCGATGACTCACCTGTCAGAATAGTCTGGAAAGCTGCTTCCACATTTGTAGAGTCTAAAGCAGATGTCTCAATAAATGACAAACCATTCTTCTCTGTGTGGACAGAAACACTATAATTAGAGGGGTACATCACAGATCTGTTTCCCATCTGGAAGAAATTCTGTATCAGATTATATTTATAGTATTCCTGATGAGATGCACAGGTATCAAGAAAAAGTATAAAAATGTGTAGGTTTTTCCCCTCTTACATGATCCGAGAGCAACACCACTGAACACCAATATTAGAATTAGAATTTGCACTCATCCCCCAGCACAGGGATCAGCCCAGTGCTGTGTTACTTCGAGGCGCATCTCCCTGCATCACTGACAGTGAGAATTTGTTGCACTTTCAGAAACTGTGTGAGGAAGCTTCCTGGATTATTTTTTTTTTCTTAACCTCATCAAGTTTCTGCACCTTCTACTTGCTGGTTATGTCCTGGCAGGTTATTTAACAGGGAATGACAGTCCTCCACCTGCAGGCAGGGAGCCTCACTGGCCATGAACTCTGCAAATGCAGCTACAGCAAGCCCTGTTTGTAAAAAGAGACAGCTATGCTCCTGGATGAAAGAAATTTGGCCTAAAACAAGGCAATATTTACAGAAACTAGAACTATTTTTCACAGATCTTAATTATGTAACAAAAGAGTCAGAAAGCTGTTTTAATGAAAGTCTGTTCAACCATGGGTATCTGTACAGGGCTCCAGATCAGTTGATACAAGGAAGGTAAAGCTACCACCGTACAAGAAACACAAACCTAAAGCCATAGGCAGTTTCTGTGAGAAAACAAGAGAATGAATCTGGTTTAAAAAAAATCTTCAAGTGCCTCTGGCTGATTCTTGAAACCACATCAGCATGCACATTCTACAAGGCTTCCTTTCTGACTCAATTAAAAAGAGGCAAACACCAGTATATGACACTGGGGAACATCACCAGCAGCACTCTTTTCCCTCCCCTACCAACACACTTGTGTATCTAAGACCAGACAGGTAGATCTCTCTAGATCTCCAGACAGTTAGCATCAGGAAATTGAGTTCACCAACCTGCAAAAGCTCTGGCCTCATCTGTAGGAACTGCTCTCAGGTGGCGCAAGTCACTCTTGTTTCCCACAAGCATGATGACAATATTGCTGTCGGCGTGGTCTCTCAGCTCTTTCAACCATCGCTCTACGTTCTCATAAGTGAGGTGCTTAGCAATGTCATACACCAATAGTGCCCCCACAGCTCCACGGTAGTACCTGTGGGTGAAGAGACATGTTAGAGAAGCAGCAACAAACATCATGATTGGGCAATAACAAGAAATAGCTAGTACTAAGACAGATATTTTAAAAAATTATCCAAAAGCAAGCTACATGGGACATCAAAGAGAGAAGCAGAGCATCCAGACCAGGCTTATGCCACAGGACCACCAGAGCAGCCAGGACAGCTCAGAGTCTAGGGGATAAGCCAAACCCCAGGCTTGTGGGGAGAACCCTGCATCCCAAAAACGAAGCTCTGGGATTTATGGGGAGCTACTCTCACCTTCAACCTCTGATCCACTCCTGAAAAGTCTCCCCCACCCATCCCAGTGGGTGCAGTACGGGCACAGCCCATAGTGATAGAGAGACTTTAGAGTGACTCACTGGATCATAAACATGTCAACCTGATCTATTCCCTTTACAAAAGGCCACAGCTGGTCTCCTTTCAGACCAGAGTGGCACAGTAATGCATTCAAAAAGAAACGGGCTGTGTTCTCCCACGCCACAATTACCTCCAGCTTTAGTTAAATCCAGCTTTTGCTATGCTGGGGTTTGGTTTTTTTTCCAGTTAAATAAGCACACAAAGTGAGCAGTCTTTCCCTGCTGCTACAGGAGGGTTTCTGTTCTTAGGTTACTACTGATAAAACCTCCATCAACACTGATATTAACTTTATCAATTGCTTGCATTGAAATGAGTTTCTCAAAGCTCTTGCGTTCTAGGCTTGAAATGCCTCCAGTTACATATCATCAGAGCACTGAGAAGTAAATCAGTTCGTGCAGAAACTATATCAAGTTTCTGGGCTGAATAATATTTAAGCTTCCTTCCACTGCAGGCTGTGGATATTACACAATAAAATACAAACACTCCCTGTTTGCAGTTTCTCAGGAATCAGAAAGGTCCCAAATTACCCTCCTCAGCAAAAGCTCCTCTCCAGCCACACAAGCCATCACTTACGCTGATGTTATAGCTCGGTATCGCTCCTGCCCTGCCGTGTCCCAGATCTGAGCCTTTATTGTCTTCCCATCCACTTGAATGCTTCTTGTTGCAAACTCTACTCCAATGGTGCTTTTGCTTTCCAAGTTAAACTCATTGCGAGTGAATCGAGACAGAAGGTTACTCTTGCCTACTCCAGAGTCGCCAATAAGTACAACTACAAGACAGAAGTGACATGAGAATCAGATTCCAGATGTAGATAATCCACTGACAATCACCTGCAATAAATATTTATTTTCTGGAAAGAAGCACAAAGGAAAAGAATGTTAAAACCACCACTCTTGTCATGGGTCTACTGTCCAAGTGTTGATATTTCTAGAGAACCAGAGCTGTCACATTCACCAGCGTTCTGAACAGATGTTTGACTCGACTTTTACTTGTTCAGTTTCAGTTTCCTTTGCCCAATGTGGAAAAACATTCCCAGAAGAATATACATGGCTGTCACTGCAAAAGTCAGGGATGGTCTGGATTTCACATCCTTGTAACGACACTAGAACTAAAAAAAAAAACCAAAAACAAAAACCAACCAAACCAAAAACCCCACACCATGCAACTGAAATCTCTTCTGCTGAAGAAGTCCAAACTGCAGGGCAGGCAGCAGCCTCTGCATCCATTTTACACTCTTCATACCTCTGCAGAAGAGAGGTTCCCCACCAGGGTAGAAAAAATTGTGAATGGGAAAAATAAGAACCAACCCCCCCCAAAAAAAAACCCCAAACCCCCAAAAAACCACAAGATCACCATCATCCTGATGGACAGTTTAAAAATGCCAGCTGAGCCACAGCACTCTGCCCTTCTGCAGCCCCTCACCACTCCCGTGACTCCCAATTGCTTTAGGCCAGAGCTTGAAACTGCTCTAAAACACTGCCAGGGTATCACTGGGTCTCACAATTAGAACTGCTCCCCCTTCCCCAGCTCAGCTGGACTCACCACAGCACCAATGCCAAGCAAACTGACTGGAAGGATTCAGCTAGGCCTGACAAGAGATTGACAGAAGGTTTAAAGTCCAGTTCCTACAGGAAGAAAAGCATCACGAGGATTTGCTGCAATATCCTGTAATGCTGAGTTGAAAGGTGCAAGTTTAAGAGTAACTTAAAACACACTCACACCCCTGAGCCACACCAACAGGATCCTCTCGGGATGATCTTGTGCCCTTAATGAAGGGACAGAAGGAAATGGAGGGAAAAATATTAATAGATCCTGGAGAAGAATGGCAAATAACCTTAAAGTGCAGCAGTGAATCAAAGGCAGACACTGAAAAATCGTGCACACTAAGGTGACCCCCCCAAAAAAACCCCAACCAAACAAAAACAAATAAAACCCCAAAAACCCACATTGTGGCTAAGCTTGTTTTCAAAAAAACAGAAATACTTGCTCCTCAGGAATATAACATCAGTTAAGACATTGCAACACGGTGTTAAAAGATTCTGTGTGGTACCACAGAGGAATGTGTGCACCAAACACACTTCAATCACATGAGAAACCCCCCGCAGAGCCTCAGTCTAGCAGCGCAAATCCTCCCATCTGCTGCTGCTCACACAGCAGCCCTCTGGACACCATCTTCTATTTAAAGAATGCAAAACAACTCTGACAAATGGGATTTTCTCTGACTGTCAAGGCAGAGCAGCAGCACCTTTTAAACGTCCTCCACGAAATGAAAACCGCAGCAAATGCTAGCTTCAAACATGGCCTTGTGGAGAATACTTCATCACCATCAACATCTTCCCAGCTTCCTCTGCCAGCTGACTCAGCACGCAGCCGGCCAAGCTTCAGAAGTTGCATAAAGCCCAGAGTGGCTCTGTTAACCACTGCTGTTTATAAAGATCACAAGTGCAGGTGGGCAGCCAGCAGACACGCTGAATGCAAACAGGATTCTGCTTTCCTACCTGACAGATCAGCACTGTTCAGTGTCCGCTGTCCTGACACAGCTCCACAGCTTTGTTGGTGTGGAAGATGCTAAACCATCCTAAACTGAGTGGAGGGGACAAGGCACCTGAGTGCATCATCATCACCCACCTGGCAAACTGCCACAGCTTTCCTCTGTCACTGGTAAATAAGTTCTTCAACACTATCTTGGCAGGTTTAGGCTGTAGTTTTAAATGACATTGTATTTGTACTCACTGGGACGTGTTACAAACAACAAGGCAAAAGTTGTCAACTCCCTTCGCACACCTCAGTCCTGCTGTCACCCTGCATGAGCTTTGGCAGTGGCTGAAAACTTCTCTAACAAGAAAAGCAATCTACATACCTCATTTCCTTTTCCCAACGATGTATATGATCACATGCCTGTTAAGTCTTCCCCTCAAATGCATTTCTGTTGTTCAGTTGTTCAAAGCACAACTTTAAGTCATTTAACAACAGACAGATCATTTTAATTGCTCTGCCAGGTTTGGTTTTTTTCTTCTTTACTTTGTCTGAATCCCATGCTGCTTATGTTCTGAATGGTTTCCAGCATAAGATTAATATGTCCCAATTAAAAGGGGAAAATATTAAACTTTCCTCCTGGAAGTCAGCTATTTCCTCTACTTAATTGGGCCATTGCAGCTCCTCCTGAACAGGGACACGAGAACCACTTGCAATGTCAGCAGGTGTCTAAGACTCCTCATACGTGTGGCAATTCTGCCAGTCTGAGCAAGTATTACTCTTTGAATACAATTATGAACTGAAACACCTTTAACAGCCACTCAGACTGTATTATCCATTTTAAGTTTGCTTTCCTTATCAAACTGCCTCAATTTGATATTTTATACTGTGCAACATTCCCATGTATTATCTCCTTAGCACAGAAATACAGAAGGAATGATCCTGGATGGCTGAGTCCTGTTCTCACTATTCCAGGCAAACAGTTTTTGGGAGGGAAATGACGTTATCTAGTTCCACTTTAAAGCTAATTGTTCCTGCACATCACACTTCTATTGGGGTTTTCTTCCAGAAACTCATTCTTAATGGTTAGAAATTGCCTTCTAATTTTCAGAAGAAATTAGTGGTCAGCTGATGGTGATGCTCCTGTGCCAGCATTGCCCATTAGCTTATGAGTTCTTCTCCCAGCGGTGTTTACAGAAAGCAACTGCATCTTCTCTGGGCTTTGTTCTACCAGCTAAATAAGCCAACCTCTCCAATGCTTCCTTGCAAACAGACTGTCCATTTCCCCAAACATCTTCCCTATGAGTTTTTCAGTTTCTTTGCCACACTAGCCAGAACTGCACACATCATTCTAGGCAAGATCTCCCGGTGATGTACACAGGGACTTTAATATTTCCATCTCTACCAGGCATACCTGGAATTACCTTTCCTGACTGTATCACCTTGATGGCTCAGTCTGCCTGCGATCAGACCTAATTGTTCTAGCTTTTAGTTGGCAAGCTCTTACTTTACCAAATTCCTATGAATCCCCAGGTGTAAAACCTTCCGTTTGGAGTCCCACTCTGTGGGGAAGAGCACAGTTCTCATCAGCACACAGCCCTCCAACTTTCTCCTGTACTTCACATCATCAGCAAATTCCTTTACGACATGAGCACTGGAAGGAGGAATGTCTGGAGGAAACACTTAAGCTAGTTCAGCCACAAGATCTATTCTTGAAAACCTCCATCAATAACCTTCTTTGGACCAGCACTTCCCTTACAGGAGCAGCACCCTAGAAAGCTTCGCAATCAGGGGAAGATTTGTATTGGCACATCCTAACAGCCATGAAAGTATCTCCCTGCCCCAGGTGACTATTACTAGGCAGGTCATTCTTACAGGTTTAGTGAGGTGCCAGTTCAATACTTGCAACCACATGCTTTAAATCATTGCATTTGACTCTCTACAGCATTACCACCCCAAAGGTTTACAACACACATTTGGTGGAGAGACAGAAAAAAAAAAGAGCACAAAGTCCACACTACTGTGTAAATTTCATTCTGAAAAATTCCAGTTTTATTTCTATAGAAGACCAAAATAAGAATTCCATTTCCTAAACTGCATGAAAAGCAATTTAGAGAACTATGTCAAGAAAGGATTATTAATTTTTCACGACCATTCCAGCTCACCCAATTTTTATTTCTGTTAAACCTCTTAGTTGAATTTTTCAGAAAATACTTTAATTATCTCATGAGATATGTTATTGACAACCTAATCAGGTTGCAGATAGAAAGTCCAGCACCAGCTTGTATTGTCTATGGTAAAAAATATTACACAAGTTCATATTCCACAATTTAAAACAAGTACACTAGCACTGAGTCTGAAAACTCTTGTCTCTGCATTGAGCTCTGCTATTAATAAATAAAGAGCCTGGACACATTTTCATGACCCCCAGAAGAACTTGCTGATGAACATAGAATTACTGAATGGTCTGGGTTGGAAGAGACCTTAAAGCTCATCCAGTTCCAACCCCTTTGCCACCACTGTAAAAATCAGTGTCATGCAACCATTTTTCCCTAC